AAAAGTCCAGATGAGATTGTGCAGAAAGTGGTGGGGAAAATTTGCTCCTGGGTGTCGGTGAATGAGGAGTTTAAAAGTCAGAATGTTTCTCCTTCTTTGTACTAAATCATGGATGTTCTTGTAATATGTTTTGGGCTCGGGAAGGCCTAGTTGGCCTGAGTCTTGTTGTATTTGGCTTTCTCATTGAATAAAATTACTTTACCTTTTTCAAAAAAAAAATAAAGGATAATTAATGTAAACAAAGAGCATAGCTACATACCACATTGTTTAGCCAATCCCTTGTCTCTGATTTTGCCTTCTCTTTTGGATCCTATTAGAAAATGATTCATAATCAATAAAGGATTTGAACTTTATGTACACATAAAGGTTAACATTTTATGCTTAAAAGGAAAAAAATAAGTAGTTAAAAGTAAACTACATTAAAACCCAAAAGGAAACAAATACAAAAGAGAGGGAAGATATGTGGAGAAGAGTGATTGTTAGTATGGAGTTTAAAGTTTTGATTGAGACTCCAGAGAAGTGTTGGCATCTCATAGATGCATTCGGAAAGGAAATTATGAAGTGCCATGAGTAATTAATATACTAAATTCTGTGGCAGGGGACAGGAGAGAAATCAAATTTTGGGAAGATTTGTGATCCAGAGAGGAGAAACTATGTCATTTGTCCAAGACTATATAGGATTTTTCTTTTTTTTTTTTTTGAAGATAGAGTTCTCAAAAATTAGTCAGACAATATTTTGAGGAGGGTTAAGCAGGTTCTTTGGTGCCCAAAGATAATCATTATTGGACAGGGAGGTGAAGTGCCTCTTACTGCTTTCAAGATTGGAGAGTATGAAGATTGATGCTGATGTGCCAAATCCAAGATGGTGGATAGTCTGTATAGATGGGAAATTTTCTGCCAAATCCTTCTATTAAGCTATTATCAGTAATCGAATTGGCAGATCCAATGTTGGTGGAGTTTGGGGTAATCCAATTCCTCCTCGGATTGAAGCCTTTGCATGGAAATGGCTCCATGCTTTGTATAGTATCTTAACAATTGACCACCTGAAATGAAGAGGTTTTCAGATGCCAATTATTGTATTTTGTGTGTGAAACAGAAAGAAGTGAATCATTTATTTAAACATTGTTGCTGGACAAAGTTCATATGGGATAGCTTTACTTCAAGGTGTAAGATATGTCAAACATTTGGGACTACATCAAATGGAGATTGAAGGGGACTCTAAGCTGTTAATGGGGTGGATGCAGTGAGGTTGTTTGGGAGCATGGAAATATAGACAGATGATAAGGGAAATAATCAATATAACGAGGGAGATTGATGTGTGCTTTAAGTGGACAAGAAGGTCAGTTAGCAAGCTAGCGGATACCTTAGCAAAACAAGGGACTGTAAGGAAGAACATGTTTTGGGCAGTGCTGTAATGAGTATGTAACTTGGGTCAACTTCATTTTAGGAGTTGACAGATGTACTTTGTCATAGTTTTAAATTTTTAATGAAGTTACTGTTTCCAATAAAAAAAATAAAAAGTTCATATGGGATTTCTTCTTCACTATGTTTAATGTAGCTTTAATCCATCAGCACCAAAGGAGATTTTCTTGGCATGGCCTAGGTCGGGAGGGAATAAGAAAGCCAAGGTAGCACAGAGTATCAGTCCATTTGCTGTTTGTTGGGGTATATGATGAGAAAGAAACAAATGTATTTTCCAAGAGAAATATCAACATAAAAGAAAATTGGTTGTTGAAATTTTTGCCATGGTGGTGCAGTGGTCTTTACTCCTCCCACAATTTAAAGACTTGAGAAGAGATATTTGGCAATGTCTACTTTGAATTTAGAATTTAGGACTTGGAGCTATAGTGGATTATTCTTGTATTCTTGCTTTTGCTAATATCTGAACGGTGAAATCTCATCACCATTTGCTTATATTTCTCCTTTTATTTTAATAGATTTTTCCCTTTTGCGATTAAAAAAACAGTCAATAATCGTAGGGTCCTAATACAATGCATGGAAAGTTTGTATCAATGGTCAAAGGTAGGATGGAGTAGCACTTACAGTTTTGGGTTGTTGTCCAAGCCCTTCTTTTGAGAAAGCTTTTGTCTTAGTTTCCTTTTCACAAACCTTAAATCTTTCCATTTCACGCTCAATAAGCTTGCGAGCATCCAGCAGAGCCTGCTCATAAGAGGCACTAACCTATGTCAACATATATCAACAAAAAAATTAATTGTCAACATCAAGTCCGGAATCTCAAGCTCCACAATCACAGATTACTATCAATACATTTTACACCAAATAATCCACATTTAATCCATTAAACACCAGATAATAAAGGTAAAGTTACTCATACAAACTCATAACTGCAAAAACATGAACCATCACTAACACAAACATAACCAAAGATCAGATGCAATAACAGTTGGGAAAAATTTCCAGAACAAAACAAACAAAAAAAAAGCATTCAAAATAGTAGTTTTTGGAACAACAAGGATATATCATGTTACTATAGAATAGAAATAAATAAGATACTCAATTGAAGCTCCAAGACAGAAATAACACAAGACGACAAAATATGTATATTAATTTTGTGACATAACATGGGTGAGAAACCCAAGCTATCCTGGATTGGATATCAAGTCAAAAACCCTTTTGCTTTCAAACCAGACCCAATGTAGATTTTCTCTCAAATTATCCCCATTTCATAAAGGCTTACCCCAAGTTTAAATACTCTTGGTGAACAACCAAAAAGGATTGAACACCTTTAAAACTTAGAAATTGCTGCACAGCTTTCCAAAGTTTTCCATTCTTTTGGCATATATGAATGCAATATATGCAGCACACTATTTTGATACTAGTAAGTGTGCATGTGCTTTGCACTTGCACATGGCAATTTTAGACGACGATGATGATAGTAATGATATGTTTCCAAATTTTCAACATTCTTTATATTTTTGTGTATAAAGCAATTCTTATTTAAAAGATAAGGGCATTTTATATTCTTAAATTCAACAATTCTTATTTAAAAGATAATGGCAGTTTAGTTAAGAATAGAATTCAATGAAAGATGATGGGAGTTAATACCTTAAATATAAGACTTAACGAGAGGGAATTAAATAAGATGAAAAGTACTAGTTAAAATTATATTTTCTGCCATCACAATTAGAGAGGGACCAAATTCACAAAAATAGGGGCATTTTAGTCAAAAAAAATCACGCTCTCATCCATACTTTTAATAATAGTATAGATACAGATATAGATATAGATTGTAAGAGAACAATCACATTTTAGCACTGTTTGACAAAAATTCTCAATCCAATCCATTTTATAGCATCTGCTAAGAGTGGTGACAAATCCTTTTTTCTTTTTTTTTTTTTTGAAGATCAACAAAAAAGTTAAATTAGAAAAAGAGGAGAAAAGATACAAGAAAAGGTGATAAGAAATTGCCCCACAAAGAGTACGTCAAAGAAAACCAAAAGCCAAAACACCCCTTTAGGCCATCTCGCTTTCCAACAGAGAACTATCACCCATATCACATTCACAAAACTCAAAACCCATCCCTGAACAAAAACACCCTTAACATAATACAAAAATGCAATAGATACCCCAAAACACCTTGCAGAAGCTTTTTGCCAACTAACCCTTTACAACCCTACACACCCAAGCCCCTTCGAATGATTTGCCATCCTTCAACTGATTTCTCTACAATTCCAAAGTCTGTGCTACGAATCTCTTTACTTCTTTTTATAAGCCTCTTTGTCTTCTTCCCCTTCTTGTTCCATCCAATCCCAAATAGACCCCCTTTCAACCTGGCAAACACTCTTGACACTTGTACTGGTAATCTTTTCAGCTTCTGAACCATTTAGTAGAAGCATTCAGGAAGGTTTCAGTAACCTTTGAACCCTTTGAATTGTGATTTCTCCTTTCTAACTCAAAGACCACATTCTTTTTTTTTATGAACGTCAAAGACCGCATTCTTCACAAAAATCTGATTTGTCATCTCCTTAATTCCTTCTTGAGAGTTGTCCCTTACCATTTCCTCAGGATTCAAGTCTTCATTAACCCCCACATTGTTTTCCTTAACACTTGACACACCAGGAATCATACAGTTCTTCTCTTCATCCTTCGACTGCAAACTAGACTTCTCCTCCACCTTCTTAAAAAGCTTCCCTGGTAATTCCGACCCTCTAATAAAATACAAACCCAAAAATTTGCTCACCTCCACCCCTGTGTTTACCACCATGTCCAAGTCAATCAACTTCCAGTTTCATGAGTCTCATCAATAATAATTTCATCTTCCTCTGGGTCCAAGTCCTCAAATATTTTTCGTTCACCTTCCTTAACTTTTTGTAGTGGCTTCACTCTATAGCTCTTGTTAATTATCAAAAATAAAATTCTACAGCTCTTTTTCCTTTTGTAAACCTTTGATCAGTCAGCTCTGCTCTCATCTTTCTCTCTTCTCCCTTCCCCTTCTTTACTTACTTCTTTCTCAATCTCCTCCCCAACTACACCCCCAATCTTATCCACTTCCAAACCACCACTTGTCTGGTTTTCTGTTTCAACTACCCTACCCTCAATCCACCTCTCCATTCTGAACCCTTCTATATCCTTTCCCAAACCCTCCTTTATCCCCTATCAAAAGCCTCTTCCTCTCCCCTTCTTTGTCAACCTCCTTATCCAATCTGTCTATAAGTACCCCAAAAGACCCACTTTTGTATTGGTGACAGATCAAGGATTTCCTTGGTGACCTTCCAACTCCCTCGCTTCCTCAGGTATGATGCTTGTTTTGGTGATTCTATTCAGTTCTGGGAGGATGTTTGGGCAGGTAATCAACCCCTCAAAGATCGGTTCCCTTCGCTTTACTCTCTCTCCCTTCACAAAAATGAGCCAATGGCAAAGTTTCTTCCAAACCCGTTTAATCCCTTGTCTTTAAACTGGGATTTTGGATTTCGTAGGGGGTTAAGGGATGTTGAGTTGACTTATGTCATTGAGTTGCTTCATTTACTTGAGCCAGTTTGTTTGGACCCTGTTGACAGATGTATTGTATGTATTGTACACAGGTTTAGTGCCCACAGGGGTATTTTTGTAATTTTGTAGACCTCTTGTGTTGTACGGCCAGTATGGTATAAATACGAATGCTTCACTCGCATGAAGCAGTTCTTTTGAGGCCTCAAGTCTGCAGCCTCTTCTCTTCTCCTTCTTCTTCCTTCCTTTCTTCTTCTTCTTCTTCTTCTTCTTCTTCTTCTTCTTCTGCTCAACATGGTATCAGAGCATAACCAACCAGGCCTGGAAAACAACCAGCTGAGGTCTCTCTCCACTGCTGCATAGAAGCTATAGTCCTGATGCTCGAAGACAAGGAAGAGGAAGCATTCTCTAGTGCTTCGGTTAGTCTCCACAGCCGAGTAGGGTTCTGCTACAAGAAAGCTGACTGCTCAACTTCCTAGCACAGAAAAGGGTTCTGCTACAAGTTTTTTCTTCTTTATCCTCCAGCCCAGGTGCTGGTGACTGGAGTTGCTCGGCTAAGAAGACTGTAGAAAACCATCCCAGATGTACGAAGAAGGGTTCTGGCCTGCAGAGAAGATTG